GCCGTGTCCCGGCCGGAGTGACGAGACAAAAACATTAAAACCCATTACAAATGAGGCATTTGTTGCATCCAGTGGGGACATAATTAAGGATTATAATGACTTTTACTCTCTACAGTCCTCCATAAAATGTGCTGCACACATCTGAATATTTGGGTTGAACTGTTCTGGAACAGTGTTGTAAATACAACTTAACCACTGATTTCTAGTCGTGTCCTCTTTTGGAAGACCAAACAAAGTAGTTTCGCTTTCACAACGAAACACACAGCGCCTTCACGACATGGCGGCAGCAACAACAATACTACAGCGAGAATAAAAGTTACGCCTTCTTTCTTTGCGTGAACATTTGGGCGGCGTTATGCAAATCTTCCCATATCGTGACATAGACATGTGGGGGCGTGTTAGAACGAGCCGTTTTTGGTAGGCGTGGCTGACTCTTAACTTTTATAAAGAATATCTATATATCTCATAATATGGATTTGAGACTTTAGTCTTTGCAACTTTACAGATCTTCTTTATGCACCAAGAGCTTGTAACACTTCAAAGAGAAAGGAAAAATTGAAATCGCATCATATGACCCCTTTAAGAGTGAGCTCCATAGCCTCACTATAAAAGTCTACATAAAACACAACAATACAGAACATAAAACACATATGCAAGCCTCTTTGTTTTGTTTTTTTGTTTTTGGGTTTTAGATTTTTTTGGTTTTATAAACTCAACAAAATTGATTTTTCTGACTATTATTTCATATGCCAGGCTTTACAGGGTTAACGAGCCAGTGTCAGTGTTCGCAGGGCTCTTGTAAATGTTTACACAGACACATTATGATCAAATAATACAAACGCTCTTGTTTGAATAGGACATTGTATGAAGAGAATGATGGGATGTGTGATGAGATGAAAATATTATAATTTACCTCCTCCGCCTGTTTGCGCAGCGCTTTCTCCCGCTCATACTGCGTGATGAGTTGCTCGTTGTCCTCCTTGAGAAGTTCCAGCTCCACCTCGTGCTCCTGGTTCTCCGTTAACACCGAGTCGAGGTTCTCCAGGACGTTCACCACCAGCGGCATCAGCTCCTTCACCACCTCTTCGTCGTAGCTCTTGATGAGGCGCTCGAACTCCCGGTAAATGCTGCTGGCCAGGCCCGACACCCGCTCTGACATGACAGACACTGTCCCATAATCGTCCTGGTACACCACCTCGTCCAGCTCCATCATCCTGGCGGCGTCTGATCGAAACTCGTTATTAGAGAAAGAATAAATAGTAAACCGGCGACACGAATTGAAATGGCTTCTATGAATTCATGACAATGTCATCAGGTGCACATGATGCCACTTCGCTCCACGGCCCGATTCCACCAGCAACAGCCGTATTTCGGGACGTACGGCCGTTTAATATTCAATATTTGTTGATCAGACGGAGCGCTCGCGAGGAGCCGAGCCCTCTTCCCCGCCCGTGCTCCTGCGCCACAGTGTCGGCAGCTCGATCACACGCGCCTCGCTGCTACTCGGTGATTCTCCGGTTGCGTCCGTCTCATCGCTGCACTGGAGCGGAATCCATCTCATCACATCACGCCCAACGAGCGTCTGTCTGACGATGCACCTGCCTCCCAGCAGCCGCAGCCCGCGAGCCCAGCCGTTACTGAAAAATCAATGGAGGGGGATAAAAACGAATATAAATAAATAAGGGAATAAATAGCTACCGTGCAATATGCCTGCGGGCTCTCGTTGTTATTGACAATCGGATATTGCTTTTCTAGCGTTATGTCAGACTGGCCATTTTTGGCATTACAAATCAATCCGGTGGTTGACAGACAGGGCGGCGGGGGTTCGTGATGCTGTTTCCGTCGGTGACTCTCTGTCTCTCGCAGAGCGATGATGGAGGGGCCAGCTGACGTCACAGCGCCTGCATGAGCAGGCCGGGATAATGATGTCTGACCGCTGCTGTGCTCCTAACGGAACACCATCAACGACATGAATGATGTTATTGCTATATTTAATGTATCCTATGCCGTAAACAAGTATTAAACGCAAACATTGGCTCATTGATTAATACAGCATCCTTCTTTGATTTGAGCTTTTTTTAATATGAGTTTTTTTTTAACGAGGTGTCAACACTGTGTAAATCGAAGCCGATAAATCAGGGGTCCAGGCAACCACACATATAAGGTCACTTTACCAGTTGGAGATAATCGGTTTAAGGCATCACAGGGGCAATTTTTCAGAGCCGACCGCAAAAGTTCTTGCCAAACCCATCCCAGATTGCATCATGTTGGTCTCTAGCCCCCACGCGTCTTCAAATGGGATTGCGATTACCGCAATTGGCAATGTGACAGTCTGCAGCACAATTTATTGACAAAGAAACAAAAATGTGCATTTTAATTAAATTCCTGTGCCATTTTTAGCAAACTTTTGTCATTTGCACTTCTGTAATACTGTGTTGACCTGACCACTGATTTTTGAACAAAACTCATAAAACTATCACAATCGTGTATGATTGAATGGTACAAAACCTGGTGACTTTTGTAGCACGCTAATTTTGTAAACACTACAAATAGACAAATATTTTTCTAATATTTGTTATTTGATATAGAAATAAATGGTGCATAATTTAGAGGCGAATATTGCCTAGTACCATGAAATCCACTAAAAATACAAAACATTAAAGGGGTCATATGATGCGATTTCAAGTTTTCCTTTCTCTTTGGAGTGTTACATTTGACTACAGAGAATGACAAGTGTGACCCCTAAATGAGGAATACTAGAGAGTTTGTTACGTACTTGAACGTGACTTTCGTGACTCTGTTCCTCTGTCCTTCTGCGCTCATTTGAGTGTAACAGGTGCAGGAGTTTAGTGGGCGGAGCCGAACTGGATCAGCGTGTGGATTTAAGCTGTGTCAGAAGCTTGCTCTTGGAGTTCCCTCGAGCTGTTGAAAGTGTGTGCACGTGCTCCCCAGATATTGTGTGTTGTAGCAGGTTTGCTCTGATGTCCGGTTAACCTCCTCGTGAGGAGCAAGTTGTTAGCGGCATGGGCAGGTAAATGTGTCAGTGGTGTACCCTTTTTAAATCAGATTGGTGTGTAGTGGGAGGCCCACTTTTTATTTTACTATTCTTTTTTTCCTGTTTATTGGCTAGGACGGAGGTAAGAATTGTAATTTGATTTTGTTCTTTTGTGTAGGGAAGACCATTTTAAAACTAGCCAGAGATCCCTTTTTGTTTGTTGTTTTGGGCCGGCTAACCCACTGAGTCTGAGCTACGTACCTTTCCCTTGATGGAGAGAAAGAAACTTAAAAACGCCAAAATAAACCTTTTTGTTTTGAATAGATTCCAATGTGTTGTGGGAGCAAGAGACGGAACTCCGAGCGACCCTCGAAACACAGGCGTCGCTCTCCATCTCCATGTTACGTTTAGTTGTTCGATTTGTTGCACGAAACGGTAAAAAAAAAAAAAAAGGATGTATACCTTTTATAAGGCTACACATACTGATATTTATAAGGCAATATCAAATTCAGCCTCCACCCTGAAGGTCCTCTTTCCATATTTCACCTGTTATGAAATAAGTAGGCCTGAATATATACTTATATTTTTAAATGGCAAGTATAAATTAATTTTGTATCTGACAATGATTACATACTGTGAAAAATGAAACCAAGACCTTGCACAAAAACATGAACATGAAACCAGATTAATTCAGTGTTGCATAAACCAATTAAGTTGTATTTCTGTAGTCGGTTTTGTACTCAAGAATCATTGATACCTCCTACTTTGAACAATATTAACCTGACACTGTAACCTAAAAATTCAGCAAGCACATGCACATAAGTTTTTAAGTGAAAATTTCTGTTTATTTCAAGCAACATGGTAAAACATCCTTTTATTGTCATGGAAAAAAAAATAAGCAATACAAAACTGCATACAAATGAACAATACAGAGGTGTATTGTATGAAACGGGCCTCTGTGACATCATTGTATCCAGTCACATTGCCAAGCAACCACTTTAGCATTTTTGGGCAGGGACGGCACTATGTGGGAAATGCCCACACACATTCACAGACGTGTCATATTTGACCTTCCAACTGCCATGCAAAGAATAAAGCAGTTGGCTAATGGTAGGAAAGGCCAAATTCAACAGAAGTATTAAAGAATCAATGGCGCAGCAACTCTTTTCAAGTACAGAATCAGGCATATCAGATGATTCTCTTAGTTTAACGGTCTCTGGTTACATTCAAATGCATGTATGGACATGTTAATAGTGTGATATTGTCAAAGATGTTTGATTGTACATATTCTAATCATTGCCATACATATATGCTTTGGCGATTATCAGTTACAAAAACCGCATTTGGTCTGGTATCTAAACTACTACTTTTACATTTGGCTTTGTGCCTTACTCAAAAAAAAAAAAAAAAAAAAAAAGGGATGAAAAGGATGAGTCATATCAAATCAGTAAAAAGCAACAGTGTTTCATTTATAGGGCATTGCGAAACTGCAGCTCTTTCGAGAACCAGGGTGGAAAGGCAGAAAAAAGGAGGGAAAATAACTGCATAAAAAAAAAAATGCAAGAGCAGAGTACAAAAATGAGAAGTGAAGTCACCTTATTGCACAAAAGAATTTGCCATCAGAACACATTCACTGGGTTTCAAAGGGAGATCTGAATACGCTGATACTGAAGAGCTTGCTTTGGCGACCAACAGTGGTACCAGTTGAACACTGCATAGACTTTTCTGAGATTCATGATGCAAACTTGTATTTAATACATTAGCAAATTGACAGAACATAATCATATAGAGAAACAACCGTCAATGCAAAACATTTGAAAGGAAACAGCCATTCAGTTTTAGGAGCGACAGTAACAGTGATTCTAATTAGATGAAAAGGAAAAGGGAAAGTGAGGAATGAATCAGAAAGTGCAGAATCAAAAAAAGGAATGAAGAGAAGAGTGACAGACTTAAGGGGAAAAAAACAAAAACAAAAGTTAAGGAGAAAGTAAATGAGAAAGGATACGTTTTAGTACAGGTTAAAAGCAGATGGAAGAAAGGAAGTGACAATGATGGCTATGGCTAATAGAAAACCACACTGGACTTTCCACCTGGTGGGTTGAGCACTTTGTTGTGAGAGCGAGGGCGGGGTCCGAGGCGTGGCTCGTGGTCCTTTCCTGTTGGTTGCCACATTGCTGCCTCAGAATTCTGATTGGCTGCAGGTGCAGGGGCTGCTGGCTCTTTTTCAGGTGTTGGTTGAGGGGTCACTGGCTCCACCTTCACTTCCTCAACTGCAGTCTTTTTCTTAGGCACTGGGGCTGCAAGTGAGAGAAAAAAAAGGTGGGAAACGGAACTGCCTGCCAACAATAAACATGGAGGAGAAACAAACTGGGGCATGAAGAACAGATGACTAATGTTTGGTAAATCACAGGTTTTCTTTACCTGGTGGATCTGGAGTAGCAGGTACACCCACACTTAAATTGTCCTACAGAGAATGAAAGGGCATTAGAGTTGAAATGGGTGGACATTTTCAGATTTTAAGAATTTTGTGGAAAGCATAATAAAAAATGATTATGAATTTGTGTTGAGTCACATACACTCCCATTCAAAAGTTTAGGGTTGGTAAATTTTTTTTAAAATGTGTTTGAAAAAAAAAACAACCAGGTTGCATTCATTTGATCAGAAACAGTAAAAAAACAACAACAACAAAACAAAACAAACAGTAATACTCTAAAATATTGCAATTTAAAATAACTTTCCATTTAATATATTTTAAAACGTAATTTATTCCTGTGATGGCAAAGCTGAATTATCAGCATCATTACTCCAGTCTTCAGTGTCACATGATCCTTTAGAAATCATTCTAATATACTGATTTGCTGCTCCAGAAAAAAATACATATATACAAGGTGTAGTAGGCTAATGGGTTTGGTCTACCTTTGGTTTGTTGGGATGCTGACTTTTCACAGAAGGTGGGGTCGACTCTGCACCCCCAAAGATGTTACTGGAGGCTCCACCAGGGGGAACAGGCCTGTTCCGAGTCGAAGAAGCCTCTGGGTCCCCAAATATCCCACTGCTCTTTCCACCTGAGACAATAAGATAAACATAAATAAGATTTTGTTGAGAGACACCAATGCTAGTTATACAAGAACACATGATGCACATTCCTAAAAATGTACATATAAATTAAAATGTACACATTCTTAGACCTTTATAAAGCGTTGTGTCAATTCAGCAACTGACAAAATGCTGACCAAAGGTTCCTTTTGTAGCTGCTCAAATTTTATAGCAAGAACCGGGGATGGGTGGGGGGCTCAGCGATCCTCCATGGTGGGATGTGAGATTAAATTATAAATTCAATTCAATTACATTCAATTCACTAATTTTATTATTAATATGTTAAATATGTAATACTTGTACGTATTCCGTGATATTCTGCATTTCGGAGCAGCTCAAGCCTTTCTCATCGCGCTGTGTGAAATACAGCCTGAACGGCGTCTCAAAACACTGGACCGCTGCATGAGCCTATGATACACAAACTACAGCTCTCGGCTGGATAAAGCAAGCCAGTGTCGTGATAGTAACGTTTTGATGGATGACGATTGTAATTAAGGTAAAGATGATTATAGTGACATACAGGAGTCGTACATTAGGCGAGTGTTCAGATCGCTGAGTTTCCACACTCAGAAGGTTCCCCCCCCCCCACTTTTTTAATTCACATGGCTGTCAAAATTAATGTACAGCTAGTGTTTTATAAAGGATGCTCGCCGAAGAAGTGTGTTTTGGAGAAGTTTGTGAGGATCAGTGGTGTTTATGTACATATGGGTATCAGACGCTTAAAAAAGCTTGTTCTGACAGAGCACCTGTCTGTTGACTGATGACATCGAGCAGCCTTCAGATCGCTGCGTTTCCACACATTTCGAATGGTTTAATTTTTCATTTGTATTTTGGTGTGTTTAGTGATTCTGAATAGATCTGTATAGTGGCTTTATGCAGTCCTTTGGTGTCTCCCTGTTGTCTTTTTTTGTATGGCAGGTTGACTTGTGCTTATTTGTTAAAGTTACTGTATAATTGAGCTTTACATACTTAAGTAATTTAGTTGTAAAGAATATCTGCATATGTAATTTTTTCGAAGTATGTTTGCAAAAAAGAACACTCAATGTTTAAATCTATCCTGGATTAGTTTTGTTTAAAAGTAATTACATAGAGTTGAAAAGTAGTAACACTAGAATTCAAAGATTTTTGTGAATAGAAAAGGTTGGGGGGGCTTGCAATATTGATTGTTGGGCCTTGGAGTAAAAAAAAAAAAAAAGTTGGTTAGACGGAGACCTGGAGAGGCCTACAAGCCACAGTGTCTCGCACCCACTGTGAAATTTGGTGGAGGATCGATGATCTAAGGGGTGCTTCAGCAAGGCTGGAATCACACCCATTCGCCTTTGTGAGGGGCACATGAATCAAGCCACATAAGGCAAGTACAAGTATTCCACCAAATACTGATTTCTAAACTGTTCCTAATTTAAAACATAAGTAGTGTGTTGTTTAAAAATGAGGTAAAACTTTATAATAACTTTCATTAATAAACTATCAACAAAAATTCTTCAATGATTAACAGATCATTATTTAATAAATATTCACATAGCTAGAAATAAGAGAAAGTGCTTGTTAATGTTTACTAATATCCTTATTAAATATTACCTAATGATTAACAGATCATTATTTCATGTAAATTGAAGTGCTTACAAATGTCATTAAACTTTCAATTCATATGATCATGTACTTTTTAAAAATCTTCAAATGATTTTGACAGTTTACAATGAGTAAAAGCTTCATCATTAAATCATTAACAAATATTATATAATGCTTAACGGATCATTAGTTAAAGCTTACAAATGTAATTCAACTCAATTCATACACTCATGCACTTCTCAAAAATCTACAAATGATTTTAACAGAAATTATACGATATTTAAAAGCTTATTTGTTTATGTACTTTTAAATGCTAACAAATTTCATTTAACTTCAGTTCATATATTACCTAAAGCTCTCTTTTCTCTTTTTTTTTTTTTTACAAATGTTGAGAAAAAAAAAAGCATAAATAGTCATTTTAAGCACTTCACAAACTACTCATGTTAACAAATTATTCATTAACTCCTAACCACAGTCTGTAAAGGTCACATTTTTTTTAATCTTTGTTTGTGTAGACTTGTACCATTTACACATCTTAAATCATTTATTAATTATTTGTTAATGTTTTTGCAGTACCCAATCTAAAGTGGAAACTATTCATCTTTTGTAAATGTTTTTAATGTTTACTAATCATTAGTATCTTTATTAGCAATCATCTCAATGGCAAAAGGTGACCCAATTGACCTGAATTCACCCTATTTTCACATCTTAAATCATTTATTCATGTTTTTGCAGTACCCAATCTAAACTTGAAACTATTCATCATTTGTAAATGTTTCAAAATGTTTACTAATTATTAAGTACCTTTATGGGTTGGGATGCACGATATATCGGCCACCATATCGGTACTGGCCGATAAATATTAATTTTTCGGTTATCGTTATCAAACCATAAGAAAATTTGGCCGATATCTTAAAGCCAATAAATAATGCATCATTTCCTTCAGAGACGCTTCAGATGCGCACTGTTCGACATGATGGCTTTTAATTGCTTGAAATATTATTGGAATCACTTTGAAAAGGAAAATACAGTGAACTGAAACATGTGCAGGGCAAGTCTGTCATATTACAATGAGATCATTAGCTATTGTAAAATAATATTATGGAATCTTTGTTCGGCGTGTTTCAGCGCGTTGATATGGGAAGAGCGCATCCACAATGGATCTACACATTCATGACTAGCACAGTTAATTTCGCTTGCGCATTTACAGGCTTTTGTGCAATTGTACGTTGTAAAATTGTGTTTATTTTATGCATATAAATCTGATTTATCTCATATAGAATGCGTTTGGTTAAGCTAATAGACGGTTAATAGAGCGCTTCTGTTTACCGGTGATCATTTAGCTCAGCGCATGCAGCAGCACACAACATTAATAACTATGATTGGGATTGTCATATGTATATAACATTAAAATGAGAACACTATTATAATAAAACATTGTGAATTCTTTTGGTTTGGTTTCCATGTTTCAGAGCATTGTTAAGGGAAGAGCGCATCCACAGCAGAAGTTACACATTCTGATTTGCGTCTTTTTGTACATAATTTGTAATATTATGTTTATGTTGTATTAATATCTGATTAATCTCATATATTATGCATTTCCTTGAGTTAAATAAGCTGGCAGCACTTCAGCTGTTCATTCAGCTCTTCAGCACACACAACTTAAACAGCAATGCACAACATTAATAACTATAATTGGGAATGTCATATACATAACATTATAAAGACAATTTTACCGTAATAAAAAAAACTGAATTATTTGCCGTGTTTCAGCGCGTTGTTACGGGAAGAGCCAAGAGCGTGTCCCGTTCACACCGCCAGCGACACACAGCGACAGAGCGACATAATCCCATTCATTTTCAATGGAGAGCTGGCGACTTCCGGCGACACGAGCGACAGTGACTGTTGGCGACGGAATGTGGGCGTGTCAAGCGATGCGAGTCAAGCGACAAAAGTTCAGAATTCTTCAACTTTATGCAAATAAGCAGCGAATTTCGCGAGCGACAACCAATGGGAGTGAAGTCAGTGGAGAGCACGTGATTCATCTGCTGTAGTGGAGTGTTACGGGGGTAACTAGGCAACCAGTAGTGGGAACGCCCACTAGCGACCTCAATTGCCAGCCACAAGCGACAAGCAGCGAAAAAGTCACTGGCGGTGTGAACGGGCCATTCACACTGCCAGTGACACAGCAACAAAGCGACATGCTCCTATTCATTTTCAATGGAGAGCTGGCGACTTCCGGCGACACAAGCGACAGTGACCGTTTGTGACAGAATGTGGGCGTGTCAAGCGATGAGAGTCAAGCGACAAAAGTTAAGAAATGTTTAACTTGATGCAAATGAACAGCGAATTTCGTGAGCGACAACCAATAGGAGTGAAGAATCTGTCAGTGGCGCTCACACGTCACCGTCTAGAGCGCAGGCAAGACAGGACAGATTTCCTGAGCAATTTCACTGTTTTATATGATTTTACTGTAACCACATACATGGATATAAAAAATTACGCGTAGAAAAGAAACCGTTGGCTGTCTAAGTGAGTTTGATTCATACATTGATGGTTCGAGTTATTAATTACATGATGCAGTGAGCAGTTTAGCACCGGTTAATGATTTAATGCACGAGCACTGCTGTAGTTTATATAACAACACTCTCCAACAGCAGAATGGACCACCTCTTTTATTTGTATCTTATTATTTTCATCAACAATATGGTTTAATTAAAATAATTTCATTATTGTCAGTGCGGAGGTTATTCCGTTTAATTTATCCATGGCACATGATTATTTTTTTATTATTTTTTTTACACGTAAGTAATGTTGTCCAGTGACTTGTTTGAATTATTTAAACATTATTTTATTTATTTGTAAGGCTGCTTTATGTTTGATTTATGTTGAAGTGTTTAATGCCTTTTAAATGGTGAGACTTTTTTGGTAATCAGGTTCTCAAATTATATCATTTTTCAGATTTTTCGGCTAACATATCGGATATCGGCTTTCATATATAAAGAATTATCGGTTACCGGTATCGGCCAAAATTTTCATATCGGTGCATCCCTATTTATGGGCACTGGACTTTTGGCTGCTGTAACAATGTTTGTGTAAAGAGTGGTAAGTTTAGCCAAATGCTTGCTAAAGTCATAACACATTGTAACACATTTGGGTGCAAAACATGTTTTATTGCCTCAACACTTATATTAATATACTACTGTATATCATTAAACAGAGTATTCCTTGAATCATTCCCTTATAGTAATCAAATTGACCCCTGTACACTTCTGAACCCTTAACCAATCTTTAAGCCTACCCATACCACCAAACCTGCCCCTAACCTTACCCGTATCACACCTCAATAGCAGCAAAAGTGTGGCACATTAACAAATAAGCTTTTAATCATTGTATAGCATCTGTTAAAATCATTTGAAGATTTTTAAAAAGTGCATGATCATATGAATTGAAAGTTTAATGACATTAAGCATTTTAAATTCACATGAAATAATGATCTGTTAATTATTAGGTAATGTTTAATTAGTTTATTTGAACATATATTAACTAATGATCTGTTACGCATATCATAAACGCATATGTTTAAGAAATTATTCATGAAAGTTATTATAAGTTGTTACCAAAAATGAATATGAACTTGTTTTCTTTGCATTATGTGACATCTGAAAACACTGCATCTTTTTTGTTATTTTGACCACTTGTCATTTTCTGCAAATACATGCTCTAAATGACAATGTTTATTTGGAATTTGGGAGAAAATGTTGTCAGTAGATTATAGAATAAGACAAATGTTAATTTTACTCAAACACATACCTATAAATAGTAAAACCAGAGAAACTGATAATTATGCAGTGGTATTTTAATTTTTTTCCAGAGCTGTATATATTAATCAAAGTTATAATTATTTTAATGTGCATGTCTTATATACAGTGGGTATAGAAAATAATCACCCCCTTTAAAATAATCACATTTTGTTGCTTTGAAATGAAGACGGACACAGTTTTTGTTTTATCCAGCTATTTTCACTCAGTGCAACTTATAACATCCAACACCAACATGTCAGGAAAAAATAATAAAAAACAGAATCAGAGTTGGAAAAAGAATCACCCCCTCCTAAAAATGACTTGTAAACTCAATCAGGTGTAGCTAATCACATTCTCAACGGCACACAAAGCCATTTGACTTTCAACTGTGATCACCTGTGGTCATTTTGATCAGCTCAGCATGAAAAGAGCTTTCCTGGAGCATTTAATTCCTTGGTAGTGCAACTGAAGCAAACAATCAGCTATGGGTGGCAAGTAACTGTCAAAAGATCTCCGGGATAAAGTTGTGGACAGGCAAAAGTCAGGAGATGGATACAAAAAATATCAAAGGCTTTATCAATGCCTAGAAGCAGAGTGAAGTCTATTATTAAGAAGTGGAAGGTATTTAACACAAACCCTCCCTGGATCAGGACGTCGCTAGACTCGCTACAAACTGAATGAAAGAGCCAGGAGGAAACTGGTGAGAGAGGCTATCAAGAGGCCTACAGCAACTCTGAAGCAGCTGCACCAATTTATGACAATGAGTGGTCATTGTGTGCATGTGACAACAATATCACAAATTCTCACAAATGTGGCTTGTATGGGAGGATTGCAAGAAAAAAAACCCCTCCTCAAGAAAGGCCACATGCAGTCACAACTGAGCTTTGACAAAACACACCTTGAAGATTCTGAGGCAGATGAGACTAAAATGGAGTTATTTGGCCTCGACACTAAACGATATGTCTGGCAGAACTCCAATACAGCTCACCATCCAAATAACAGCATTCCTCCAGTAAAGCATGGAGGCGGTAATATCCTGTTCTGGGTGTTTCTCTGCAGCAGGGACTGGAGCACTTGTCAGGATAGAAGGAAAAATGGATGGGGCAAAATACTGTCAAATTCTTGAGGAAAATCTGCTGCCCTCTGCTAGAAAGCTGTCAATGGGAAGAAAGTTTACCTTCCAAAAAGACAATGACCTAAAGCACAGTGGTTGAAGGAGGAAAAAGGTGCACAAACGCTCACCATCAAATTTAACTGAGCTTGAGCAGTTCTGCAAAGAAGAGTGGGCAAATATTGCAAAGTATAAATGTGCAAAGTTAGTAGAGACATATCCCAACAGACTAAAGGCTGTAATTAAAGCAAAAGGTGGTTCAACAAAATACTGACAAAAGATGGTTCAACAAAATACTGACACAAGGGGGTGATGCTTTTTCCAACTCGGTGATTCTGTTTTTTTATTTTTTTCCTGACATGTTGGTGTTGTCTTTCACTTGGATGTTATAAGTTGCACAGAGTAAATACAGCTGGATAAAACAAAATCTTTGTCCGTCTTCAAAAACAAAATGGGATTAATTTAAAGGGGGGGGTGATTCTTTTCTATACCCACTATATGCGTGTTTGTGTCTGTCTGTGAAGTTTTATTATTTCAGCTTAGTTTTATTTTAGTACATCAAGTTTTTCTGATTTTATTTTATTTCACTTAACAAGTAAAGACTTTATGGTTTTAGTAGTAGTAGTAGCAGTAGTAACAAAGTTACAAAAATACAAGAGTTACATAAATATAATAAAATAAAAACCAAACAAAATAAAAAATTACATCAGTAAAGATTAAGACACAAGATTTTTTACATCTGCATGAGATACAAATTCTGAAACCTTTTCTTTTAAAAGCTTATTAAACAAGTCCTTAAGTGAGCTTGGTTTTAGTTTTAATTAACGATAATAACCCTGCTTTGCAGGGCTATTTGGTCATTTCTAAAACCGAAGTAATGATACCACAGTGACATAGTCAGTTTCTTCCTGGCCAATAATAAAACACCACGTATGTCAGTGAAGAAAAAAAACATTTCTCAGACATGTTTGAGAAATGTTCAGACATGGGACATTCTCAGCACCTGCTCCCTTAGGGCAAAGCATGTGAACGGCATGAAATATTACTATTCAAACAGAAGAGAACCACTTATTAACCCAGAACTTAGAAAATTAGACAACGTTTAAGAGCACTTTAAACTTCAGATCAATACTTGGCCTGTTTTATCACCATGACCTTTAACCTTCTCTAGATGTCTAATTTCATCAGTTCAGTCTGTGTATAATCTCACAGAGTTAATTTACTGGTTAGTTTGTTAGACTGAGGTAGGAGTTTTGATGTTGCTTTTGGTGACATGATAAATTCAAAGTGTCCTTGTTTGCATAGTGGAAGAGAGAGTGAGTCTCGAACACATAAAACTAAGTAACAGTGTGGTGATGATTTTCACTCAGAGAGTGCAAGAGGCCCCAGACAGAAAAGACTGTGTCTGCTGAAATCTCACCTGGGGGATTGGAGCGTCTGGGACCCCCCCGGGTCTCTTCTGGAGGTGCAAAAATAGAAGAGGACATTTTGTTTTGCCGTCTGGAGGCAGCAGGGTCTTCTTCATAACCACCGAAGAGATTGCTTGACCCTCCACCTGGAGGTCTTAGTATCCTACAGACAACATACAGGTATGTACATGAATTCACACGAATATTACACATCTTATTACTGAAATGTATAGATTAATAAAATAACCTAAAACTACAGCGCTACCCTATCTGTGAGGCTAAACATCGGTTGATGCTTTTGGTGACATGATAAATTCAAAGTGTCCTTGTTTGCATAGTGGAAGAGAGAGTGAGTCTCGAACACATAAAACTAAGTAACAGTGTGGTGATGATTTTCACTCAGAGAGTGCAAGAGGCCCCAGACAGAAAAGACTGTGTCTGCTGAAATCTCACCTGGGGGATTGGAGCGTCTGGGACCCCCCCGGGTCTCTTCTGGAGGTGCAAAAATAGAAGAGGACATTTTGTTTTGCCGTCTGGAGGCAGCAGGGTCTTCTTCATAACCACCGAAGAGATTGCTTGACCCTCCACCTGGAGGTCTTAGTATCCTACAGACAACATACAGGTATGTACATGAATTCACACGAATATTACACATCTTATTACTGAAATGTATAGATTAATAAAATAACCTAAAACTACAGCGCTACCCTATCTGTGAGGCTAAACATCGCAATTGCAGTTACAAGTTTAGGCGGTCAGGCTTTTATGGGCCACCAAGTTGTACCTAACATCCAAAGCTGAATTTTAATAATTCGTGGATTTCTTTAAGAAAGTTAAAGCCCTGCACAATAAACAAAACTACAACCTGCGGCATAAATTCGTTTCCGATCAACAACACTTTAAGGAAATGAGCCTACTTCGAAGTCTGCGTTGTGCATAAATTCATATGTATTCATAAACTCATGTTTATTTTTAAGGTAGCCATCATTTCAATTTACACATATATTTCTGATTATAAGTAAAATGCGTCTATGTAGCTCACAGACCTTCTCTTTGAGCCTCGGCACATATGCCGCTAACAAATAATATTGACCACATTGACATCACAGTTTGTAATATCATATTTGACCATCACACACTCCACGGCACATTATTGATCATGTGCAGTTATATCCAGTAATTTGAGCACACATTGTAAATGCAATACAAGCTTTTTCGCTTAACTAGTAGAGTTAGCATGTAACGTTAGCGCTTAGTCATGCTAAAGTTCCCAACTCACTCTCCTAAAGCATCGTGATTGATGATTCAGATAAACACAAGCAAATATCAACACCAAACCATCTACACACACCAGACTATTCCAGATCAACTGTCAGCACACGACCCATACCTTGAATTTGGTTTGCCACTACTATCAAGCCCCTGATACATATTTGTTGAAGTCATGGTTGCTTGTCTCGGTCTGCTGCGACGTGACCCAGAAACTTCAGCAACAGCCCTCCCCGCAGAAAGAGCCCTGCCACAACCGCTAAACTGCACGTCTATGCCAAAAAAACCGTGAAGCCTGCTGTTGCACAGCTCATTTGCATTTAGGGCAGAACTGCAAATTTGATTATGTGAATGACTCTCTTAGAAATCAGTCTGATTTAAGTAAATTTCTATTGGCTGTAAGGTTAATATGGCCAAAAGAGTGTGTAGGCTCGGATGTTGATTGGTTAACTAAATGCACCGCCTTCCAAAGTAGTTGACTGCAACCTCAATTATAAAATATGAAAAAAATAAATCATATCCTCTTGAGAACCAGAAAAAAAGTTTTTTTGTCATTACATTGGTTGGAGCATAAGAAACAAATGGAGAAAAAAAAAAACATTTTTGAAAAAATATATTTTATTTATATTATATTCTGTCTTTTGTAGATGATGCCAGGACCAAGTTATTCAAAAAATAAATAGACATGAAAAGGCATGTATAGGCAAAAACATTTTTTTTTTTTTCATTCACCAATCAGTTTTTAGGTTTCAGGCTATTTTAGCCAAACTTTGTACAAAGATGATTCTCAACTATGTTATGAAAGATAAACAAAATGATTTGATATACTATTTTACTTTATGCAATATTTGCGTAAAATGCCCATAAATTGATATTCCCATTCTATACAATGTTTAGGCCTATACGTTGCATCTAATTTGCATATTAATGTGTTGTTGGGGCAAACGAAAGAAGAAGTGTAATAGTGGGAGTAATAACTTGACAACATTTTCAAAATTACAAAACATTATCATGTTTCCCTAAGAGTGCTAAGTTTGATCATTCTGTCAATATCAGTCATATCTAAAGACCAAGGAGAGGGAGTGTTTATAATCAAACCTCCAAACATTTGATATCTCTAAAAAGCCCTGAATGTGCTCTGTACATTCATGTATGTGGCATGTATGCTCTCAGAGAAATTCACTAAAAAATAATGTCCTCTACAGAGGACAAAAGACTGTGCCTGGGTCCCAGGATATTAATTTTTGTTATGATAAATTGCGATAAGGGTATTAAAAACAGAGCATATGGGATTTTTTTTTTTAATTATCGTTACATTTTATATTCGTAGGTATAAATTAACCAAACAAGACAAGAAGATATTTTTTCTGTATAATTTCTTGAAATTCTATCATGAATTCTATCATGTTTAAAAAAATAAAAATATATAAAAAAATAAAAAATGTATACACAATATAAAATATTTATTGTAATTAAATGTACAATAATAATACAAATGCTATATAATACATTGCAGTGACTGTACATATAATTACATAAAGTAAATTACATTTACTTTCAGTAACAATACTGCTTCGTCGGTCTATGTTCATTTTGGGTGGGACCGTTATTTTAAAACATTTGCCATGTGAATGAAATTACGCTCCGCGAACGTAAGTTTTGATTGGCTACTTTGAAAAAACGCCCCTTCTGTCTTTCATGATTGACTGAATAACTTCTCCGTCAATCATTTTACGCACGCGGCGACGTACGTACTCTTGGCCAATCAGAGGATTTGTTTTTGAGTTGTGGTAGGCGTGTCTGACAGCAGAGGAAAACAGGAAGGGATGCAGCTCTCAGCGGTTCTCCTGCTACCTTTCTGCTCTGGTCTTTCTGGATACCGTGGAGTTTCTCAAGGCCAAAAAAATCTCCTAAGCAGGTACAGAACTTGTAAAATCATTTTTTGTTAAGACGTAATTATTCATTACACATCTGAGCTGCTTATATGTTTTCAGCAGAAACGAAACGGTAACTGTTTAGCTAGCAAGTTAACGGCTGTTCTGCTGGCACTGCTGGTTAGGTATCAGTTGTTGCATTCGGTTATGTTGAAATCAGACTTCAGTCACTCCGTGATGCAATATATTATGCCCCCCCCCCCTTTTTGTGGGCTGACAAGCATCTATAATTAAGCTGTCACCAACTAATATTGTGACTTTGACACTGTCAAACAGTGCCCACAATTGTGCATGTGATACTAAATCAAGTTGTTGTATTTTAAGCTGTTGGTGCTCAGTGCTTCATGCAGAGCTTCGTGCAGTGTAAATTTGCTATTTAGCTTTGTTCTTGTTAAGGCGTCCATACTCGTGAGCACATTTCACTGAATGCTCAAGAGGATGAAATAAAAACATTTTGTTTCATCTGAATGCCCCCCACAAATAGTGACTGTGGTATCGACAGCTGCAGTGGCTGAGCAGCTGAGGTCGGCATTGCCTAGCTGTATCTTATTTCATTATAGACATTATAACAATGTTGTTCGTGGGATAAATCAAGCTACATTTTGCTTTACACACAATATATAGAAAGATTCTTTTTCTTGGCTGCAATAATGTTTAAAATATAATAGGAAGCAATTGATTTCTAGCATCTTAAGCATGCACGATTGCTGTTTACAACTACATTTATAAAGTAAAAACTTTAAGTGTCTCAGTGGTTGACAAAGTCTGTTATGTCAAAAATGTTTGTAGCTCTTGTGAACTGAAGACACGCCCTAATCAAGCAAAACATGGTGTCAGTTGACTATTGCAAACTTTTTATTGTAATAAACAGCAAAGATGAACAGATCCGAGAAGGAGTCACTGTTATATGTTAGGTTACTAATGTTTAATGTTTATTTGTTTTGCTGTGTATGCAAAGCACCATATCACACCCCCTCTCGTCTACGTGATCTTCATGTGATCTAGCGAGTCTGTCCTGCTCGTTGTTGAGATGATGAAATCAACGCACTCTTATCTTGGGATAAATTGGGACTGTGGGTGTCACTGAGCGAAATTTAAATTTGAATAATAAATCAGCTTCTGCCCTGAAAGTTATGATGACGTAGAAGGAGTAAGCAAAGTCCAGAGGGAGAACAGCGGCTGCGTGCATAGGTTTGAATTGACCGAAATGCCTCAAAACGCAGATCTGGATTAAAACTTAGCGTCATCGTGTGTCGTTTTATCATGAACATGGCTAAATGACAGGTGTGCTTGTTGTTGTGATAAAACTAGTGAGTTTATGAGTCAGAGTTGCTGTGGCTACGAGAAGCTCCCAGTTGCGCTGCGCGGAGTTGAACCCCAGTAGGAGCAGCAGCAGCCAGGAGAGGACGACTTTGCCTGACCTCGTTTGCGCTTCGACTATGTTCAAGTTTTGCTCTCGAAAATCTTCGAACTCATGGTGAAGAGAAAGAAGACGCCGTCTGCTTCCGAAGAGCTCGAGAATGGGTAAGAGTGCGTGAGAAACAAGCACTTCAGATAGAGGTCGAATGCGCGGAAGATTTGCGTTGTCGTCTGTCGTTTCTGCAGGGCGCTAAAGTGAAGGCGCTCGCGCTTGAATTTCAAGGGAAATAAAGGGCAGCTCGCAACTCGAGCCACGCGAAACTACACAAAAGGGAGGCTGGGATGAAAGCACGACGAGTGTTTTTGGTCACATTCGTCAATAACCGAAGGGGTATTTTTCCGATGCGATTTGTCGGGACGGTGAGAGGGGATTTGAAACAAACAGCGGCGGCCATGTTGAGTTGAGCAGAATGTCGTCTTTCCAAGTTGATCGTTGTTTTGTGTCGCGGAAAATGTTTACGATTATGCTTCGTTTGTGTTTTCGCAGGATGACAGTGGGCCAAGGGGGCAGTTCGGGAGTCGAGGGGCCGAGCAAACCGGACCGAAAGCCCGAAGGAGGCGAGGATGGAGAGAGCGCAGATCAGGCGAGCGAGGAGACGAGTACAAAGAGAGTCGGAGAGGAAACACTTAATCCATCAAGCGCGGCCAGCCCCGGTTCGGCTCCGACTCTTTCCAGCCAAACATCAAGCCCACCCGGAGCCCAGGTGAACCCGACAGCGCTTTCCCCAGTCTTGGCCGCCCCGAGCAACCAGGACCAGCATCATTTTCTTCGCTCCAGCGTGCGACCTCCGAGCAAGCGGATACGGAAAGATGCCTCGTCCCCGGCGCTGAACGGTCACGGCGCTGCGAAAGCGAAAGGTGAGTGGCCATCTCGACGTGCGTCCGCTGCCCACCTGTCAGTGCATCCTTTCTCTACACTTTTATCTCACTTTTGAGCGTGTTTTGGGGCATTTGTACGGCAATCTGTGAGTCTTTGGGCTGCTTTTGATTTGTCAGCGCGGAGAAGCTCTCATGCTTTCTCGAGTGAAAGTGACTTGACAAACTGCTCACACTGAAGCCTCTTACATCTCAGCTCTGGGATGTTTGGGTTGCTTGTAACCTCACTAAATGCCTTAATAAGCATCAGTGCACTATTTTAAATCAGCAGGCTCAATTATTATTCATTTATTTCCCTTTCATATCCCTTGTTTAGCTGTCACCCAGCAGCAGGTGACAAATCACTGTCAGGAGTTTCATTCTGATGAATCTGATGAGGAGATGGTCACTCTGCATCTACATTGAATCAGGATCACAAGTCAGGAGTTTGAGTGATCTGTTTGCGATCTAAGCGTACACAGGGATTATAAAGGGAATCTGTGTTTATTTTAAATGTAGACAGTAGGCTTGCATGCTGTAATGTATCCTGGGGTTCTCTCATTGCATGCTCTCGTGTGTAAGTAAGGGGGAGAGTTATTGGCTTCTCCGGTTCCCAACGTGTTGTTTTTGGATCAGTGCACTGAGCAGTAGGTCTGGATGCCCTCCGAGGGACTCCTCACATACTTCCTGACACTCTTGTTGACACACACATTAACACGGTATATAAAAAGACTTAAATAGGCTAATAATCTGTAAGCCTTTCTAATTGCGAACAAAAATATAATAGTTTTCTATTAGGTCTCAGCCTGAAATTATGCAATTATCAATATAATTATTTGTTTGTTGTGATTATTTGCTTTTTAAAAGAGTGGTGTTTTCATGGTTTTGTAAATCTCTTATGTTCAACCAAAAATAAATTTAACAGCCCAAAGTATTATAAATCAATTTTAGTTGGTTGCACAGCCATTCAAATTAAGCTGGACCATTTCAGCACTCTTTACTGATATCTTTTGCGTATGAGTGACAGTTGTTTTGTGTGTGTGTCTGTGTGTTTCCTTTAAAGTTTAATCTTGTTTTTTGGTTGGTGTAGATATGCCTTGGTGAAAGTGATATGCCATAGTGTGAATTAAATTCAACAGTGCTCAGTAATCTGAAAA